GCACAGGGGGCACTCACTTATCTATGCCAAGAAATTTGGAAGTCAAGTATCTGGCTGACTGATTGGAAGAGATCGATATTTGTGCCTATTCCAAAGAGAGGTGACCAATGGAATGAGGAAATCATCAGACAATCTTTTTGATATCCCATGCGAGTAAAGTTTTGCTAAAGATAATACAGAAATGGCTACAATCATACAATGACAGACAACTTCCAGAGGTTGAAGTCAGATTCAGAAGAGGCTGTGGAATGAGGGATATCATTGCTGATGTCTGATGGATCTTGGCTGAAAGCAGAGAATATCAGAAAGATGTTTACCTGTGCTTTAGTGACTATACAAAGGCTTTTGATTGTGTGGATCATGACAAGCTATGGACAACATCGTGAATTATGAGTATTCCAGAACACTTATTTGTGCTCATGAGGAGTCTGTACCTGGACCAAGAAGAAGTTGTTCGAACAGAACATGGGAACACTGAAATGTTTTAAAATTAAGAAAAGTGTGCCACAAGGTTGTATTCTTTCACCATACTTATTCAACCTGTATGCTGAGCAAATCATCCAAGAAGCTGGGTTCTATGAAGAAAAATGTGGCATCAGGATTGGAGGAAGACCCATTAACAACCTGAGATATGCAGATGATACAATTTTACTTGCTGAAAGTGAAGAGGACTTAAAACATTTGCTGATAAAGATCAAAGAGCACAGCCTTCGGTATGGATTGTATCTTACTGTAAATAAAACCTCACTCTTCACCACTGGACCAATAAACAACATTCTTATCAATGGAGAAAAGATTGAAGTTGTCAAGGACTTCATTCTTCTTGGATCACCTATCAACCCTCAAGGAAGCTGCAGTCAAGAAATTAAAGGATGCATTGCATTAGGTAAATCTGCTGCACAAGACCTTTTAAAAGTGTTGAAGAGCAAAGATATCAGCTTGTGGACTAAGGTGTGCCTGACCCAAGCCATGGTGTTTTCAATAACCTCATATGCATGTGAAAGCTGAACTGTGAATATGGAAGACCATAGAAGAATTGATGCTTTTGTGTTATGGTGTTGGAGCTGAATATTGAAAGTGCCATGAGCTGCCAAAAGAATCAATAAATCCCTTTTGGAAGAAGTTCAGCTAGAGTGCTCCTTGGAGGCCAAGACGGCCAAACTTTATCTATCATACTTTGCACAAATTGTCAGGAGGGCCCAGTTGCTGGAGAATGACATCATGTTTTATAAGGTGGAGAGTCAGAGAAAAAGAGGAAGACCCCTAACGAGATGGATTAGCTAAGTGGCAGCATTGATAGACTCAAACATGGCAACGGTGGTTGAGGTTGACCCAGGATTGGGCAGTGTTTCATTCTGTTGTGTATAAGGTCACTATGGGTCAGTACCAACTCGATGACACCTAACAACAACAACAAGTTGGTTCTGACTCTTAGCGTCCTTGTATAGGGTGTCTGAAGAGAAGCTGATGGGTTTGAGGCACCGATCTTTTAGTTGTCAGTCCAGTGCTTATTCTACAACACCACACCAAGACATATTATGTTGTTGTTGTTATTGTTGTTAGGTGTCATTAAGTTGGTACCGAATCATAGTAATCCTATGCATAACAGAACGAAGCACTGTTGGGTCCTTTGCCAACATTGGTGCTGCCACTTTGACAATCCATCCATTGGCAGTCTTCCTCTTTTTATACAATCCTCCACTTTAACAAGCATGATATCCTTCTCCAGGGACTAGTTCCTCTTGATAAAATGTCTGAAATATGAGAGATGAAGCCTGCACATCCTGACTTCCAATGAGCATCCTGGCTGTACTTCTTTCAGTACAGATTGATTTGTTCTTTTGGAAGTCCACGGTACTTTCAAGCTTCTCATCGAATACCATAACTCAAATGCATCGATTTTTCTATATCTTCCTTATTCAGTGTTCTACTTTTATATGCATAGAAGGTCATTGAAAATACCATGCCAAAGAAAACATTTTAACTATTTCAATATATAAACAGAGACATACACACACACACACACACACACACACATATATATATACATATATATATATAGTACCAGACATCAAGATATAACAATATTGTTCTCCCATAAGCAAGTTTAAAAAGTATCTATAAAACTTTTGATTGATGTAAGTAATATTACTTTTGTCACCTTTTATAACTATAACAACAACAAAAACACCAACTTACTTTCTCAAGGAAATAAAATGCAAACCTCAAACATTTTTTTTTCCAGTTACTATGTTTCTTAATGAGTTCTGGTGTGGCACAGTAGGATAAGCAATGGACCACTAGGTCAGCAGTTCAAACCAACCAACAACTCCTAGGACACCCTATACTGGGTCGATATGAGTTGGGACTGAATCGACAGAATTTAACAACAATATATTTCTTGATAAAAATATATTAATTTTAATATGATTTAATAAGTTGATTTAGGATTTATGGAACAAATGTGTACACCAAAATCATAAAACTACGTTCTATGAATGTGCTCTCATTTTAGGAAGTCATTTAGGAAATATCAGTATTTTTAAGTCTAATAGCATGAAAAACTCCAATGGGAATTCACACTGTTGAGTTAATGCCAAATGTAACTGCATCATTAGAAATATCCTTCGCTGGTAAGCAAATGAAGAATATGTTACATTAATCAAAAATAAAATATCAAGTTGATTAAATAAGTATTCAACAAGCATATGTGTGGTTCAGTGAATTACTTAACATGACCCTTTGTGGTATAGTGAATTATGGCTCTTCTACCATAGTCTTTGTAACTCTTACCAAATGATTGGATGGGACCATGTAAATAGGTTGTATAGGACTCTAATGTATGGATGGGATGGTTTTGCCATTTTGCTGTGTTTAAAATAAACCTTCTTAGAAGCAGGAATAGAGTACTTCAAGACCACCAACAAAGAAGAACCATGAGTGGAGCATATCTTTTAAACCCTGAGATCCCTTCAGTGAGAGGTTGTGGCAGTGGCAGAGGGACAGCAGAGGCAGTGGCATGGAACAACAAGGTGGCAGGGTTTCTGGCCCATGGACTGAGTAAGACTGAATGCCTTTCAGCAAGAGGCTGGCTTTCATAATAGAGTGCCCTTTGGCATTTATTCACAGTGCTAAAGGAGCTCGCAACACTTACTCAAGGCTGAGAACCAGACAGAGGCATGCCAGCAGTATGACTGAGATAAGATACTCCTAACAATAAAAGTGCTGTATCCAGAGTTCTACCTGATGCTGAATTGTACCTTATTAACTTCCCTAATATTGTCTATGAGTTCTGTGAGGCCAGTGTAGTGGATTATTGAATCCAGTAGAGAAATAGACTGTTATGGGAGGAATGGTTGGTGTCAGACAAGTATAAAGTAGGTTGGAGGGTGGGTATGTCTGACCTACACCTATTAGGAACTGGCCTTGGGCTGCTGATTTTCTTCTTCTATTTTGTGAAGCTGAGAAGTCAGATATGGCTCCTGTAATGATTTTTTTCACCTAACTATACTGTTTATAACTCCCAAAAATGACTGGGTAGTACTATGCAAATATGACAGTACTTGTGGTCCACCAATAGGATTGCATAGTTTGCTAGTAGGGTAAATAAGGAGTCCTTGTGTGGGTTAATGTGCTAGACTGCAAAGTCAGTTTGATTCACAAAGTAGGTGGCTCAAGCTCTTCAGCCACGCCTTGGAAACCCTACACAGGATCGCTATGGGTTGGAACTGACTTGACGACACTTAACAACAGCAAGGATAAATAAGGGGCATGGAACCCTTGTGGGGCTGGGACCATGCAAATAAGGTATCTGGAAGCCTAATATTAGGGTCCCAGTATGGCCCTGTAAGATAAGCGCTAAACTGATAGCTGTAAGTACGGTGTTTCAAACCCACCAGCAGTTCCTTGGAAAATATACAAGGTAATTATGAGTCAGATGTAACTCTAAAGGACTTAACAACAACAATGTCAGGATTGGTCAATTTTGCCTTTTTGGTAGGCTTAAAATTAGCCATCATCAAAGCAGAAAAGGAGAGCTCATGACCACCAATAAAGGCGACCCTGGAGTGGAGGGCATCCTTTATACCAGGGTTCCCAACATTGAAAACCTCCTTGATCGAGAAGACAGTGAGCTGTGTCACCAGAGATGACTAGAGTTGGCAAGAAGCAGTGGCAAATAATTGGTGACACCAGAGACCTAAGACACTGCAACCTAAGAGTCAACATAGAAGGCAGCAACCTAAAAGACTGGCACTAAATAGAATGATGACCCACTGAGAGAAAGATGAGTGGCTTTAGGTAGAAAGCTTGCTGGTGGAGTGGGGTGCTTCTGGACACTTTGGAGCTAGGCTAGCTGATTCATGAAGCAAGAAAGCTGAGTGCCTTTAGACCTAGGTTTACTGAAGGAATGAGGTAACTTTGAATACTTATCAATACAGCTGAAAGACCTTGTAACACTTGCCTGGGCAGGGCAGCGGCTTCTGAGATGAATGGTAGAGACCCCAATGGCCAGAGAGACGCATGCATGTGGAACTGCTGAGAAGAGTCTGTTCTGATTGAAGAACTGTATCCTGAGTCATTTCTGATCCTGAATTGTAAACTGTTACTTCCCTAATAAACCACATTATTGTTGTGTCTGTTAATTCTGTGTGGCTATTGCAATGAATTATTGAGCCCAGAAAAAAAGTAGCGAGTACAGCTGAGGGACAGTTTGTGACAGAATTGGTAAAGCTGTTGGAGAAAGAGGCATGTCTGACTGCTGACTTATAGAAATAAGCCTTGGACTGTTGATCTTTATACTTTCCTCCACCCTCTTGTGAAACTTTAGGAAGCCGGCCACCGCATCCACACTACTTTTGCAATACAAGACAAAGCTAAGTCATATACAGCAGTCTACATGTGTATTTGTTTTATTATTAAAATAGTTACTTTATTATTTCTTATAGTTATTATTAAAATTAGAGGGAATTTAAACTTTGATAACTCATTTTACCACTTACCTCATGTGGGTGATGATGAGCGTTGTGCTGGGAATGAAAAAGTCATCCACTCTGTCGAACTGCTTTCCCACTGGTTGTGTGTGGATCGTGTGGTGAGGCACATTGCCACTGGCCAGAGTTATTACCTAAACAGAACACCTGTGTTATAGACCTCTGCAAGTCACTCACTTATTAAATAGCATTGATTTTAATTTATTTTGAGATAAAAATAATTGCTTTTTTTTTTTTTTTTCAAAGTGCTCCACTACTATCAGAAAATTGATATATCATTAATCACATTGTAATTCTTTAACTGTTTGGCTTACTTTCAACATAGAAATCTTTGTTTCTATAAAGAAGTTTTTAAAATTTTTAAATAATTTTTTATTAAACTTTTAGCCTCAATAAGATTTTCCCACTTTATTTTTCACTTTGCATGAGACATTTTATATTTGATCACAAAACTGTATTTCCTATACTGTTCTCCAAGTTAAATAGTTTCCTAATTCACAAGTGAGCCTCTTCCTCTAGTAGACCAGAAGTAAATAACTCACTTTTTTTTCCGAAAAGTGATTTTTTTCTTAGTTGAAACAAACATATTTCTATTGATTTCAGAAAATTGCCTGGCAAATAAAAAATATATTAATCACTGTAGAAGTAAGAATAGACTATATTTTTAGACTACAATTTGTTGCTGTCAAAAAACAAAAACAACAACAAACAAATAAATCTTGTTGTTGTTAAGTGCTCTTCAGTCAGTTCCGACCCATAGCAACCCTATATAAGGTTTCCAAAGAGTGGCTGGTGAGCCTGAACTGCCAACCTTGTGGTTCAAACCAATCTTGCAGTCCAGTGAAGTAACCCTCAGTGCCACACGTCAGTGGCTTAGAATATGAGGATGAGGCAAAAGTTATTCATACTCTGGATGTAGAATTCATTTTAATCAACTTTTAGAAAAGACTAATACATAATTTTTTGACATAGACTCCTTGCTTTTCAATACACTTTGTCCATCTGTCAACAAATTTTTTAATTTTTGTATTAAAAAATGTTTTAGGCTGATCTTTGAGCCAAGAATGCACCACTCTAGCTGAATCTTCATCCTTGAAGGGCTGCTTTCAGGGGACCAAACATGAAAATATAATGGAGCAAGATCAGGACTATAAGAAGGATGCTTTAACACCTCAAAATGAAGTTTTTGCAGAGTGTCAAGATTGTGGGCAGAGGTGTGAGGATGTGTATTGTAATTCAAGGTCGCAATACCCTTGGATAGCAGTCCTCTGTGTTTAATCTGAAGTTTAGGCTTCAGTTTTTCAGTAGGCATCTCATTGTAGTGAACAATGTTGATTGTGGAACTTTTTCCTGATAGTGTTTCAACTGGTAGTTGAGAATCCCAGAAAACTGCAACTTTCGATTTTCTGGCAGACGGTTGATTTTTGAACTTCTACTTGGTCGGCAATCAATGGTGTTTCTGTTTCATGCTCTGCTGTTTATTCTCAGAAACACAGTGATGAATCCATGTGTGTCACCAGTGACATTTTTTGTAAGGAACTTTTACCTTCCTTGGAGTATCAATCCAAACTTTGTTTGCAGATGTCCAAATGCTTCTGGTTATGCTCTTCTGTGAGTTTTTCAGTATCCATCTGACATAAACTCTCAAAACCTAAGTCTATTATGGATTATTTCATAGACAAAGCTATGACTAACCTTAAAATGATTTCTCACATAATCCACTGTCATTCATCTATTCTGCAGACTCATTTCACATGCACGCTCAATGTTGTCATCAGCTATAGGCATAGGTTGACATTTTAATATAACCAGAGTGAGGATAATAATTGACTCATATAAATATTTTCCTATACACATGCTAGTTTCCCACAGTGTTTTGGTAGAATCTCTATTTCTTGTTTCCAGGTTACTCAGAGAGCAATCATCAATTTAAATGTTTTGATATAAACCATAATTCTTAGCCAGAATTAATCACATGTTCCTACCATATCAACAGAGGCCTACCATGCACATAGAAGAATAGAGTCAAAAACATTTGATATAAATTTGACATTTGTCACTGGATTTTAACCATTATGCAAGATGCTATTTTATAATAATTACTATAATTTAACAAAATAAACAGTGTGAATTTTTCAAATTTTTTTGTTAGTTTTTTGTTATTTTTGTATTTTGTATGCTTCTTTTGCTGTTGCTGTTAGATGCCATCCGATGGGCAGCAGCCCATCAGAACCTTATTTATGTATTAGAATACAACTGAACTCCACAGGGTTTTCTGGACTGCTATCTTTATAGATGTTAAAAAGCAAATAAGTCAGTTTGAAGATTAAAGTGTTCCTGATCTAATTCCTTATCTTTTCAGTTGCCTCATATGCATGTGAATACTGAACAATGAATAAGGAATACTGAAGAGTTGATGCATTTGAATTATAGTGTTGGAGCAGAAAATAGTGTTGGAGAAGAATCTTTCTTGAAAGAAGTACTGCCAGAATGCAACTTGGTCTCACTCATTTTGAATACTTTATCAGAGGGAACCAATCCCTAGAAAGGACATCATGCTTGATAAAATGAGAAAAAAAGTAGATACCTAATGAGATGGATTGACAAAGTGGCTGCAACAATGGGCCATTATGAAAGCATGGCAATGATTGTGAGGATGGCACAGCAAAAAACATGCCTTCATTCTGTTGTACTTAAGATCACTATGAATTAGAGCTGGCCTAAAAGCACCTAACAACAACAATCTTGACAGAAATAGTTTTCCTGGTCTTAATTCCACAGTGCTGTTGTATGAATTTGAAGCACTAACTGTTTAGTTGGTAGCTGAGTTGCAACCTTTTTGTACTACCCATACAAACAAGCATGCAAGCAAACAAAGAAACAAACCAAAAAACCCACTTCCATAGAGTCAAAGAAGCTCTGGTAGTGTAGTGGTTATGAATCAAGTTGGTACCCTCAAAAGTCAGTAGTTCAAAACTACTAGGAATTCCATTGGAGCAAGATGAGGCATTCTGTTCCATAAAGATTGACAGCCTCAGAAACCCTATACAGGGTCACTCTGAGTTGGAACCGACTTCACTGCACATAACCATCACTACCATAGAGTCAATTCCAACTCATAGATGCCTGTAAGACAGAGTGGAACTCTTACCAGAGTAGAATTATTAGGTTTCTAAGGCTGTAAATCCTTGCAGAAACACATTGCATGTCTTTCTCCCATGGAGAAGCTGGTAGATTTGAATTAGAAACCTTTTACATAGCAGCCAAGCATTCTAACCATTGCACCACCAAGGCTCTTGTTTTATCACCCAGGAATCTTTTTTTGTATGAAAGTATACAAATCTCAAATATATTTACATGGCTCTTAAACTAACAATAATAATTGCATTAATTGCAATAATAGTATTTATAAAGATCTTATGATATGCCATTACCTATTCTAAGTAATTTGCAGTCATTCCTCTATTTAACATCCAAATAACACTATAATGGAGGAATTTTACATTGTACCTTACTGACAATGAGACCACCATTATAAAAAAAAAAAAAAATGAATTCTCAATGAACATTTGCAAAAAAATGAAAATTTACTGAATTTTGTGCTTGGCACAGTCTGAACGGTAGTGTTGGTTGTGTGATGTTGACTCAGTTCTGATTCATAGTGACCCTGTATAGGGTTGCCAAGGTTATAAATCTTTATGGGAGCAGAAAGCCTCATCTTTCTCCTGAGGAATGGCTGATAGATTCCAACTGCTAACCTATGGTTAGCAGCCTAATTTGTAATCCACTATTCTACCAGTACTCTTTAGCACAATCTTAGATCAGGAAAAAAAAGAGAAAAAAAGGTTACTTCCCCAGATCTTCTCTGTATGGCCATTGCTCCCTGACAATTGAGCAGATCCTGTGGGATTGCCAGGCTCAGTTTAGAGTTGATTGACTACAAGGACATACAGGATGATTTGAATGATCCATTCATCAATAAGTCAGAGCTTGCAACAGTCCTTCCCTTGTGGAATCCTGGCAATTGTCTCTCCATGTGTGATGACTTCTAACAATCCATAGCAACCACTTCCTATTGTCACCTTATCAGTCTGGAGGCATTTGCAACCACATCTTAAATCCCATTTCCACAGGCTTGTGAATAATAATAAACCATTTTTCTTCTTAGGCTATCAACTTTCTGGGTGGTTAGATTTGCAAAAATAAACGTAAATAATGCAATATTATATTTTAGATATTTCAGATTACATACATTTCAAGTGAAAAATAAAAAGGAATCTTCATTTTGGTAATCCTTTAAAACATTTCATTTTAATACACTTATTATTTATAAGCTAAAAGTATAAATACTGAAATTACCTCAGAAACATTACAAGTATTGATACTGAAAACTGATCTAGAAAGCAAAACATAAACAAAACACAAAGCGCATCCAGTAGACTTTATTTAAAAATGGCCACAGGTTAATAATTTAGGGAATGGTAAGCAATATCACTGCCAAGAGACAGTAATAAAATAGCAAGGTGATTGGTGCCATAGTATATAACACATTCATAGGGGAAACTTTTCTTCCTATTCCCTCTCTGATTTCATTCCAACTTGTAACTCCAAAAATCTCATCTGTGCTAAAAAGTTATTTTTAAAACTCATATTTTTTCCATTGTCTACTGAGATCTCACATAGTCAACTATAAAGCACAAGAAATTCCACAAAAAATAGCACTACATATTACCCAATTATAAATGAGAAAGTGATGAGATAATAAAATATCTATTTGGTTTTAAAAGGAGATTTCTTTTGAGACTAGATTCTAATTTTTATGGTTGTGCTCAGCCCTGCTTTCATTTTACAAAATATTCTTGTGAAATGCTTATAAATATTTTATGAGATATGCAATGACTTAAAAGCATTGTTTTCTCACATGTATCAAATGTCCATACCTGCAGTGTTGGTGAAGTCTTTTCCATAGTACCCCAGCTTAGCACCCACACCTGATCATGTGACTTGTCATAGTGCAATTTAACTGGAACAGGGTCTGTGCTTACTGTCTGTAAAAAATAAAAAGGTTTAAAAAGTTTTCAGTCTGATATACTAGTTTAAATCTTGTCAAAAAATATAGATGAAACTAAGAGTATAAGCGTCAGATTTCAAATTCATGTTGCCAATTATCTGATGTTCTAAAATGACATTTGATTAATTAGAAATATCATCTTTACACAAGTACTCATTTTTTTGTTTACTTTGTGCCCAATTCTGTATAATCTTATGTTCACTCAGCACCCATGCAAAATGTAAGGCATGTAGTTATTTAGAAAGTTAAGACATAAGTTATTAATATGTGCATTTTAAATAAATATTGAATACAAGTGAGGACCAAGATTACACTACTAAGTTTGTTTCCCATATGAATGATGAATATGGGATTTGATTATCATACTAAAAAGGCAACATTCTGATAGATGGTTGTGTTTGTGGTTTTGCCCTGAAGTCAATTCCAACTCATAGCAACTCTGCATAGGTTTGCCAAAGCTGTAAATCTTTAGGGAAGCAGAAAGCCTCAGCTTTCTCCCATGGAATGACTGGTAGTTTTGAACCGCTGACCTTGAGGATAACAGCCCAACTCATAACCACTATGCCACCAGAGCTCCTGATAAATGGTTGTAGTTCTGATTTTCTTTCCTTACTGAGAAACCCAAAACAATGTAGAGAAAAACAAACAAACAAAAAAACAGGGACATTTGTTTGTTTTTGTACCATGAGAAGTATGCCAAATATAAGGTTCTACTTTTCTGATAGAATGTACATTATTTAACATTTACTGATGCAAAAATCTCAGAAAATACATTACTGCCAAGAAATTATGTCACTCACCTTAATTTTAAGCTATTTATATATTATACTTTAACACCTTTTAAAGGAAATTTCCTGTAGTAGTAACTTTAATCAATTTTCTAATTTTTATAATAATGTATCTAATAAAAAGACTTTTAACCTATTTTAAAAGCATTTCTTTACAAAGTACTGTTGAATATACTTAAAGAATTTTCCAAGTTCTAATTCATAATGCAATGCTTTTCTCAGTGGGTTAGTAAAAGCTAAAGTGTAGCTATGTTTGGATAAAAATAAAGTCATATTTTGACTTAAATGTTGGGTAATTTAGTCTTACTAATGCATTGCTTTTCTAGTATTTTGTACTTCATTCCAACTAAATATTATTGGGTTGCTGAAATAATTTTTGATCTCTGAAAATTCACCATTTAAGGGCTTTTTTTTACAATATCCTCATTCTTTTTCATTCAGTCTAACAGAACCATGATCTTGTTCAGGACAGCAATGTTCTAAGAGAATTTTTTACCCTTCACCAGTATTGGGATTCTAAACAGTGGCATCTCTAGGGGGAGAATGAAGACTACAAATTGACCCCAAAATGACTATCAATAAAATTTGTATAATATTTCATTAGAAATTTATTATTTTAAAGTAAAAATATCCTTGTAGTTATAAAAACAAAAATATCTTTCATAAGCCCAGCTTACAAGTATCAATATACCTACAAGGCCAAAACTCTGCGATAACTTACTTTTTGAACTTTCCAATGAGCTGGGGTCATTATTATCCAGCAACAACAATGCTTTGGATCAGATGATTTCATATGAACATATTACAAGGACACACTGTTTTCATTGTTGTTGATATTTTTATACCCACTACTTTTTTCAAGGGAGCTATGGTAGTGTAGTGGTTATGAATCAGGCTGCTAACCGTAAGGTCAGCATTTCGAAACTACCAGCTGTTCTGCAGGAGAAAAATGAAGCTTTCTCCTTCCATAAAGATTTACAGCCTGGGAAATCATATGCAAGGTCGTTATGAGTTGGAAATGATTCCACATAACCACCACCACTACCACTTTTGTCAAATTTTCTTGTGTTTTAGCTACAACATTGTAGCAATTAGCATTTATGAACCTACTATATCAATAACATTTTTGAGAATGAAGGAAAAATAAAAAAATCAAACAGCCTTTTGCTTAGTTACTAACAATGTTGTTAGTATTGATATAATCCAAGAACTACTACAACTATATTACATATTATTTACAAAATTTTAAATTTAAAACTATACTATTTACAACTATCTTTATCACATATTATTCTATGATTAGACTTGATAATAAACCTTACTAAGGATTCTGTATGATTTGGTATGGGAAAGCAACCCTACTGATACTATTGCATCTAAATCAATTAGTAATTCCATCCACTTTGATAAATATAATGTTTTTCAGCTTCTCTAAAAGCTAAGAAAGGTCACATAGCACATTCCAGACAATATTTTGTAAAGACTAATTTGAAGGATAGTTTCTGAGAATGATGTTAATATTTGTTCAAAAGACACAGGCACAGGAATAAGTTTCCTTTTCACCACACATTTAATGCTACTCTATGAGAATATTAAGTCTGGAATTTATAAGCCATTTTTAAACCACAAAAGAATAAACTTAAAGAGAAAAACCAACATTCTGAACATACATCAGAAGGTATAAAAATAAAACAAAAAAGAGACTAATTTATTGAAAACAATTTTGAAAATCTATACAAACTTAGACTACTACTTGATTTAGTGGTATATGGTATAATTAAATTGTTTTATTACTTAAAGAATAGTTTTGTATTCTGTTAATTATATTCAAATGCTTGCCAGTTGTTTCATTGATATTTCTTCATGTACCAATCAATAATTCCAATGCTTATATGAAAAAAGTGTCATCATTAATCACTAAACTAATTGTAAAGAGAAGTTCTGTTGTGGCGGTGTAGGATAAGCACTCAACTTCAAGGTTGATTCCAACCACAAGCTCAGCACTTCAAGTTCACCAGCCACTCCTTGGAAACTATATACAGTTTTCAATGAGTCAGAATCGATTCAATGGCACTTAACAACAATAACAAAAAAATAAGATTCCTTTGTGTTTTTTTTTTTTTTTTTATTATTTCCCCTTTATCCGCTAACCTTGATTTATGTGTGATTATAATAGGTTATTTTACTTGCAGTTTAAGATGTAACAAGCATAAGTCTTTAAAAGTGTTAAAGATAAATGTAAGTAACAATATCAAAGACATGATTGCTATTCAGGTAGAATGAAGTTACAAAGGAGCACAGGTCTTTAGATAACTCTCAATTACAGGGAAGGGACTAACTTGAATGAAAATTTGCAGGTTTCCAGCTCTCATACAGTGGTTTTCTTTTCCCTAGAAATAGGGTCACTATGAGTGGGAAGCCACTTGACAGCACTTAACAACAAACAATCACATATAATGCTTATAAAACAATCCCACTGCCATCAAGTTGACTCATAACTACTTTATAGGACAGAGAAGAACTGCTCCGAATTGTTTCCAAGGCTGTAAATCTTTGCAGAAGCAGAATGCATCACCTTTCTCCCTCAGAGCAGCTGGAGGGTTTGAGCTGTTGAACAATCAGAACCACAGAACTTTTAATACCTAACTTACTATACAAACAGGGCTCCTTTTTATATAAGCATACACATTCTATGTTGTTTTTATTGCTGTGTGCAGTTAAATCCACTCAAACTCATAATTATTTTATAAGACAAAATAGAACTGTCCCATATGGTTTCTGAAGCTATAATCTTTGTGGGAACAGATGAACTGGTCTTTTTTTCCATTGAAACAACTGGAGGATTCTAGCCACAGAATTGACAATTGAGCACTTAGCCATTGACCCACCAGAGCTATCTTATTCTCTTGTTTCTACTTCATATATATAAGAAAGTTGTTTTTGGTTTTGTTCAAGTCCCTGTGTTGTTGTTGTTGTTAAGTGCCATCAAGTCGGTTCCGACCCATAGCGACCCTGAACAGGGTTTCTAAGGCTGTAAATCTTTATGGGAGCAGAAAGCCTCATCTTTCTCCCATGAAGCAGCTGGTAGTTTTGAACTGCTGACCTTGAGGTTCACAGCCTGATTCGTAACCACTACACTACCAGAGCTCCATATATATAAGAAAGTTGTTTTTGGTTTTGTTCAAGTCCCTGTGTAGGTTCTCTGAATAGCAGCTGGTGAACTTGAACAACCAACCTCGTGGTTAAAACCAACTATATTGTTCAGCACTTTAACCTTCAGTACCACACCAGGACCCCATCAATTTGTCATTCCCACAATTACAATGTATGTGAATGTCAGATTCAAAATGGTCAATACAAGTCCATTTCAGCTCACTAGTGCTTAGATATTGGTCTTCTTGCTTTGCATTTCATTTTTGACAACTTCCAAATTCCTAGACTCTTACTTCAAATTTAACAACAACAACTATGATGGTAATGACAAATTGATGAAGAATGGTATCACAGTCTTCATAAAAAAAAAAAAAAAAAACATTTCAAGATCTATCTTGAAATATAATGTGCAAATATCCATATGCCTACAAGAAAGATCAGTTATTACCACTATTATTTAAATGTATGCACCAACTACTAAAGTAAGTGAGGATGAAATAGAAGAATTCTACCAACTACTTCAGTCTAAAATTTATCAAATATGCAATTAGTATACATTGCTAATTACTCATAATTGGAATGAAAAGGTTGGAAACTAAAAGGAAGGATCAGTAGGTAGAATATATGGCCTTAGTGATAAATACAATGCTGGAGATTGCATGATAGAATTATGCAAACCCACTGACTTCCTCATTGAAATCATTTGTTTAAACAACATAAAAGACAAACATACTCATGAACGTTACCAGATGGAAAACACAGAAATCAAATTGACTACATCTGTGGAAAAAGAGAGTGGGAAAACTGCATACCATCACTCAAAACAAGACCAAGGGCAGACTGTGGAACAGACCATCAGTTGTTGATACACAAATTTAGGAAGAAGATGAAGAAAATAGAAACAAATCCATGAGAGCCAGAGTATGACTTTGAACATAATCAAAGAGATTTGATGCATTAGACACGAATGACCTAGAAGCTGTGGGATGAAATTAAGAACATAATACAGGAAGAAAGCAATAGGACAATAAGAAGA